CAGCTGCCCTCACAGCCGCCCTCGCAGCCGCCGTCGTCACAGCCGTCATCGCAGCCGCCCCAGACCGGTCTGACCGTAGAGCAGCGCTGCAGGATGGAGGCCAGCCGACAGCAGGCACTGGCGCGCCAGGCCGCCAAACAGTCGCAGCCGACGCAGCTTCAGCCGCCCTCGCAGCCGCCCTCGCAGCAGCCGTCGCAGCCGCCCTCACAGCCAGCCGTGTCCCAGGCCGAACAGTGGCGAGGCAACCCAATCATGCAAGCGGCGGTGAGGGGCGCAGGGAGATCGAGAGGTGGGGGGTCGAGCCGTGGGGGTTCGAGCGGCAACAACGGGCCCGCTGCCATTCCTCCCCCCCCGCTCGCCTTCCGCCTCGACGTGCCGGAGGAGCAGCCGCCGCCTCCCCCGACTCTCGAGTCCGAGGTCGTGAGCCTCGGCTTCAAGATGTCGGAGCTCCACCACCTGTCTAGGGAGCATGCCGTTGCTGCGAAGTGGTCGCCCCCGCGGGCTGCGAGTCTCCACCAGGCGGGAGTGCAGGCGAGCCTCAAGGTTCGTGATGGGTTTGCCGCGTCCCTCGTCGCGGAGCTGCGCAGCAAGCAGATGCCGTGCGCCGACGCGGTGCTGCCATGGGCCGTTGCGGTTGCACTGAGCTTTGCGTATGAGCGCGCTCGGTGCCAGTCCCTCCGTGAGGACTACCCAATCCAGGGAGTGCTTCCCCGCCTCCGCTTTCCCGCGTACTTCGACGTTGGCCGTGTCGAGCGAGACGGTGGCAGTGCAGCGCTGTGCCGCATCTAGATCCCTCTCTTTAGAGTGTCGTGTTGCTCTCTCCTGTAGGCCATGCTGCGCCTCCGTCCGAGGCGACCATGAGTCTCGGCGGCTTCGACGGCGTGGAGCTTGTGGTGGCGGACTTTCGGGAGGTGGGAGCGACGCTCTTCTACTGCAACAAGTGCGGCGGCCACTGCAAGGTGTACTACAACCCGCGCAAGGGGCTGGAGGTGTGCGGGCGTGCCTCACGGAGCAGGTGTGCGAACACATCCTCACTCGTGCCGCGCCCATAGGAGTGGACTGTCACTATGAAGAAGCACCTTCATGTGCAGCTGATCACCGACTTTCGACGCGTCTACTCCATCGCGCCTATCCTCAAGCATCCCGTAGTAGATGCGACACGTCCGAATCATGTAGTCAACATGCTCTTCCCTCTTCCCCGTCCCTTGCTCAGCGCCCCTGCCCCTTGCGCCGGCCGTTGCGTTGCTGCCCAACCCGAACCACTTTCACCCTGCCTCACCCGCAGGTGCCTGGCGTGCGACAAGTATGTGCGCATGAACCACTCGGAGGTGCTGGCGCGCTTGGCTCCCACCGCCCTGATGCACTACCCCACCTCCCAGTCCGAGCTGCTGCACAAGGGGACGCAGCTCTCGACCAAGTTCGCGGATGTGCTCGAGGACCTGCAGATGTGCCCCGCGAGTGTGGACGCATTCCAACGCGCACTCACGGTGAGCAACAACCTGGGCCGCGACCGCGCCGTGCTGATGTATCTCGTTGAGCGCGCAAGGGCGTTGGGATTAGTCCCTCTGCGGGGGCAGCCCTGCCAGATGCGGGGGCGGGGGCGCGAGGAGGGAGAGGGCGAGGATGCGGGAGATGAGGGAGAGGCGCCCTCGAGCGAGGGAGCGGAGGGAGAGGGAAGCTCCTCGTCGGGCGATGAGAGTGCGAGCGGGTCGGACTGTTGAGAGTTTACAGTTTTACGTCTGGCCGGAACGCGGAAGAAAGGTCGGACAGTTTTCAAGACAAGAAAGACGCCCTGCAAGGGAGGAATGGGAGAACAGCCCGGGGAGGCCGCCACGCAGTTAGACCACAGACGCCACACGGCCGAATGCCGCCCGCACCACCTCGCCCGCAGCGCAATCTGTCTGCAGCCGCAGCCCCGAGTGGCTGACGTGCTTGCTGCCCTCACAGTGCCACAGCTGGTGGTACGACTCCACCATCGTAGCTCCGCAATTACCGGTGGCCCATCGGAAGAGCACTCGGCAGGACAAGGTGGGAAAACACACGGCAGCGAGTTCAGCTGCACCGCGTCGGCCACACGCGCGAGGCTGCCATTGCACAAAGTGACCTCCTCGAAGCTTGTTTGCCGCTCACGCAGACGAATTCATCATACGCGACGTGGCCGTGGCCCTTCCGCGACAGCACGATGAACGACGGCGCCTTGGCCGGCTCGTCGCATGGCCCCGGGGCAGGCAGGTTAGCGCTGCACGCCCGCGCTCCTTGGCCATCCTCCTGCCGGCTCACCCAACGTGTGGGGCGCACGACATAGGTTTCGCCCGCAGCAGCAGCCCAGCAGCCCGCAGCGAGGGGACCGGCCGACTCTTGAGGGCCGACGTCCTCCCCCCCCCCCCAAGC